CTCGAGGTGAGATCGTGCGTGCCACCGCCAGCCAAGACGCCGCAGAGCAAATAGGGGTTTATTAGAACTATGCCTACGCTGCGACGGCATATACGCCGCTTGCAGGCTGCTGTCGGTTCTGCTCAATCGCTGCAACTGGACCCAAAGGCTTCTATAGGAGGACCCTCATGTCTGCTGCGAGTGGCGTGGCCCGCACTTGCCAGGTCGAAGGAACCTGCGGGCATTAAAGGGCGCGGGCCCGCGGATTGCGAGCCCCTCGCCGTCCCCGACGTTTCTTGGGCCCATTTTCCCAAGCCGCTGCGTCTTCGCAGCCGTCGGAAGGACTTCTGGTTCTTCGACAGAGGCCTCGACCAGCTTTGGCTCGAAGGCCCAGTCGTACACCCGAGCAACAATGTCGGGGTACTCCGTCTCCTCAAAGGTCTGCCCGGGGAGGCCGATGCCTCGAGATGAAACATGCCAAGGAAGCCCTCGAACAAACCCCGAGCCGAACAGGTCTTGCAACTTCGGCGCACTCCAGGCGCAGAGTCAATCTCTCTCCTCGCACCTGCGACAGGGACAGTTAGTCGTAGAATGCCCGGTTCCGTTCCGTTTCAGAAGCATCCATGCACCCGAAAGCTCCCGGGTGCGCAATTGCTGCTGACAAGTCGGCACGAGGTCAAGAAACCCGGACAAAAAAACTCCGAGAGCGCCTTCTCGACACGAAGGTTGGCCAAGTTGCCACCCGCTTTCAGGAGTTTCCTGGAGTGCGACGCAACGCGGACCCACCAGCAGACAGTAAAGACATGAAACACCGCAAGCCTGTCCTGGGCACCCCCTTCACATGCTTCCAGCGAAGCAGGCCTAGGACGTCCGCGTTGATGTCCACAAGGAGTCCTTTGGAACAGCAACGCGATTATGATTACGAATCAAAAACACATCAGCCAGCTGTGGCGGTTGCTACCACGCAAACCGGCATGTTACATGTAGGCGCGCATCCTATCTGCAACTTGCACCGCCCTGTGAGACCCCTTCGTCGTCCTTTCCATTCAAAGCACCAACAGGCACATGTCCAGGTTCGCTAACTTTGGCACAGTTATTGGAATAAGAGACGGCCCAAGTGCAGGCGAGTAGCCCAATTTGAAGGCTATGACAATTTTACCTGGGCGTGTCGACATCGCTTCCTCTCAAAACGGAGTAAGCGGCGCTTGGCCGCGGTCGGTCCCTGCTTCATTTCGGGCGGGTGGTATGAGCGCAAGCCAGTCACCCTCGTAGAGCTTCTCCGTGGACAGCTGGCTCAAACAGAGCGGAGCTTGCCGCTTGACGCCGCCCGGCAAGCGAGTTGCTGCTTCCTGTGGCAACGGCACGCTCGAGATGACCCAAGTCCCACAGCTGCAAACCGCCTCCGGCCTCCGCTTTCTGAGCCGCCTGTGCTCTTGCCGCGTCGACCGCGGCCAGGAAAGCACGGTTGGCCAGCAGGCCGTCCGAATTGCTGGCCGGCATCTGCTGGAACCTGAGAATTGAAAACTCCGGTCCATGTAGCTTTCGACAGGAATCTCGGAGGCTGCGAAAGGTACTACACGAAGGCGTTCAGCAGGGCATCGCTTGGGGAAGCCGAGGCACGAGAGGCGCGATGATGGCATCTGCACCTGCGAGGCATGCACGAGGCGGGAAACTGCCTCGTGAGCAAACTGCCCGGCACTGCTTTGCAGAAGCTTGCAACGCTCGGCTCCGTCAGCGCAGGAACGACCCCCGGAAAAAGAGGCCGAAGCCTCCGAAAAGCTCTTGGGGAAGAAGACGATTTCCTCCTCCTCGCAAAGGCCAGGGATGGGCGAGAACCACGCAAGCCTACGTAGTGTTTCTTGAGATTTGACTGTGCGGTGTTAGGTAGTTAACGCACGTTTGTACTACTCTATATTGTGGATATCTTCAAGGTCTACAGATGCCTCGTATGTGAGCCCCCTGTCTCACCAGCATACATCACGGGCCATCCCCACACACACATACAATCATCAAGAGCAGTTCGGACGGCAACAAAGTCCACAAAGCCGCTGCCTACCTACGTTGGCACATACTCGGACATAGGCAGCATTAAGAAACCAACAGATCATTGGTCACCCGCATGTCGTTCTTGTTTGGGCCTGCATCGGAGCGCTGTCAGGGACCATGCGCAGGAATGGCACGATCCCATCAGAGTTTGCCCGGACCGGCCCAGGCCCTTCAAACCTTGGACGATGCATTTCACGAATCTGACGATGCTAACAAAGGTCGAAACCCCGCTGCTTCCTGCCAAGGAACGACGGATCGCGTGTCATTGGCACCATCTGTCAGCAGAGATCAAATGAGGTCTCAATGACCAGCTTTGCTACGGAGAGAACGGTGGCACACGGAACGTCACACGGCACAGGAACTGTGACAACACCGTTCTGTTCTTTTAGAGAAGATCGCAGCAGAAAAGCGAGCAGCAGAGCAGAAACAACGACAAGTACCACCACTGCCGCTGAGGCTGCGAGTGTCATCGTGCGTTGTTTCTTCTCGGCTTACCTTTCGTTCATGGTGCGGGTCCTCTGTTTCACTTGCGGCTTGTATCTCCCGGCTCATGAATGCCCATATAACGACACATATCACGCAAGGATCACGATGCGCAGCAATCGCTATCTGTCATCAGACCCTTGTTGCAACGACAACGTCAATTTACGATGGATATTCGACAGACTGCACCCACATCTAATGTTGCTCCTCCTACGGCGACGACATGATCACAAAGGATATATACATGTACCGCAGTTGGTGCATTCAACACTAAACTCGATGCTGGCACCTATT